TAATCCTCCACCTGCAGCGCTGACACCCCGGGTTCTAGTCCCGGTCAGGGCACCGGATTCTGTCCCAGTTGCTCCTCTTCCTGTCCAGCTCTCTGTTATGGCCTGGGAGTGCAGTGGAGGATGGCCCAGTTCCTTGGGCCCTGCACCCACATGGGAGACCAGGATAAGTACCTGGCTCCTGGCTTCAGATCAGTGCGGTGCGCCGGCCGCAGCGGGCTGGCTGCAGCGGCCATTGAGGGTGAACCAACGGAAAAAGGAAGACCTTCCTCTCTGTCTCTCTCTCTCACTGTCCACTCTGCCTGTCAAAAAAAAATTCATTCTGTGGTCTTTATTGTTAGTAATAATGTAGGTATTTTGTATTGAAATTGTTGTATGCTATGTAGAATAGATGATTATGTTAGCATTATTAGAAACCAAAATTTCCAGCATCAGTTAGCAAATATATAACTGTAAATTCAAATAATAAAATATTTAAAGTATTCCTGAAGTGGAATTGAAAATAACAGTATGAATCCACAATTTTTTTTAAGATTTATTTTATATATTTGAAAGGCAAAGTTACAGAGAGGGAGAGAGAGACAGAGAGAGATCTTCTATCCTCTGGTTCACTCCCCAAATGGCTGCAATGATCAGGGCTGGACCAGGCTGAAGCCAGGAACCAGGAGCTTTGTCCTGGTCTCCCTTGTGGGTGCAGGGGCCCAAGTACTTGGGCAATCTTCCACTGCTTTCCCAGGATCTTAGCAGGGAATTGAATCAGAAGTAGAGGAGACAGGACTCGAAACAGCACCCATATAGGATGCCGGCACTGCAGTCGGGGGCTTTAACCCACTGTGCCACAGCACTGGCCCCCGACAATCTTTCTTTTAAAATTACATATATTTTGGGGCCGGCACTGTGGCATAGCAGGTAAAGCTGCACCTTGCAGCACCAGCATCCCATATAGGTGCTGGTTCGAGTCCTGATTGCTCCACTTCTAATCCACCTCCCTGATAATGTGCCTGGGAAAGCAGCAGAACATGGCCCAAATGTTTGGGCCCCTGCACCCATGTGGGAGACCTGGAAGAAGCTCCTGGCTCCTGGGTTCAGCCTAACTCCAGCCGTTGCAGCCACTTTGGGGGAATGAACCAAAAGCCTCACGGGCATCAGGTGGAGAATTACCTGACTGAGTAGTGGGGCAACTAGCCCCAGACTACAGTTGCTTCTGGTTCTACTTACCAAAGCTTGAAAACCAGACCCAGAAGCCTTCCAGTTAACCTGATAGCAGAAAAAAACTTTCAAGAATATATATATATATATATTTTTTTTTGACAGGCAGAGTGGACAGTGAGAGAGAGAGACAGAGAGAAAGGTCTTCCTTTGCCGTTGGTTCACCCTCCAATGGCTGCCGCGGCCGGCGCGCTGCGGCCGGCGCACCGCGCTGATCCGATGGCAGGAGCCAGGAGCCAGGTGCTTTTCCTGGTCTCCCATGGGGTGCAGGGCCCAAGCACCTGGGCCATCCTCCACTGCACTCCCTGGCCACAGCAGAGAGCTGGCCTGGAAGAGGGGCAACCGGGACAGAATCTGGTGTGCCGGCGCCGCTAGGCGGAGGATTAGCCCATGAAAAAGAATGCATTTTTTTCTGCACCCCACTGAAGGAAAACTTCACAATGCTTGGCATCTAGTAAAAAAATTCTTGGCTTGCAAAAGACGTATGAGAGTAGGATCCATAATGAAAGAAAAAGAATCAACCATGGAAACCTACCCAGAAATGGCACAAGTGATAGCAAAATAAGGACATTAAAACAGGTGTACTTATATGCCATATATTGAGGACATGAGGGCAACAGTTGGAGCTTTAGACATGGCACATGTAAAAACAGACTCATTGAACTTCTAGAAATAAAAGAATCTTTAGTATGAAAATACACATGAGATTAATGGCAGAATTACATATTGCAGAAGAATTAGTGAACTTGAAGATACAGTAACAGAAATTAAAAACAAGGGGCCAGCGCTGTGTCATAGTGTATAAAGCTGCTGCCTGCAGTCCCGGCATCCCGTATGGGCACTGGTTCAAGTCCCAGCTGCTCCACTTCCGATCCAGCTCTCTGCTATGGCCTGAGAAAGCAGCGGAAGATGGCCCAAGTCCTTGGGCCCCAGCACCCACATGGGAGACCCGGAAGAAGCTCCTGGCTCCTGGCTTCAGATCAGTGCAGCTCCGGCCATTGAGGCCATCTGGGGAGTGAACCAGCGGATGGAAGACCTCTCTCTCTCTCTCTCTCTCTCTGCCTCTGCTTCTCTGTAACTCTACCTTTCAAATAAATAAATAAAATCTTAAATAAAATCTTAAATAAAATATAGAGAAAAATATTTTAAAAGTTTTTTTTTTTTTAATGAAGGAAACATCAGTGAATTATGGGATAACTTCAGATGGCCTTACTCGGGAATGTGTAAGTAGAGTCCTGAAGGGAGAAAGATAAAATATTTGAAGAAATAATGGCCCCGAGGTTTCCAGATCTGATGAAAACTGTAAAGCCACCAATCCATGGTCAGCAAAGCCTAAGCATAAGAAACATGGAAAAGGGGCCAGAATCGGTAGGCTGCCACCTGTAACTCCAGCATCCTGTATCAGAGTACTGGTTTGAGTCCTGGCTGCTCCACTTCCAGACCAGCTCCCTGCTAATGTTCCTGGGAAGGCAGCGTAAGATGGCCTACATGCTCGGGCCCCTGCACCCATATGGGACACCAGGATGGAATTCCTAACTCCCAGCCTTGGCCTGGCCCAGCCCTGGCCATTGTGACGATTTGGGGAGTGAACCAGTAGATGGAAGATTTCTTTCTATGTGTGTGTATACTTTTCTCTATCGCTCTGCCTTTCAAATAAATGAAAAAAAATTTTTTTTAAAATGAAGAAAATTACATTATCAGATTTCTTAAAGTCAATAATGATTTTTTAAAAATCTTAAAAGCAGCTTGATCTAAAAAGATGGATTACAGATAGACAAAGATAAGAATTATAGCAGATTTCTTGTTGGAAACATTTTAGGTAGAAGAAAGTGAGGTTACGTCTTAGAGTACTGAAAAAAGAAAACTGAACCTGAAATTCTGTACCAACTGAAAATATTTTTCAGAAATGAAGGCAAAATAAAATTTTTAGACATACAAAAGGTGATATGTATTATAGGAAGTGTTTAAGGAAATGTTTTAAGTAGAAGGAAAATGATACCAGATAAAGCTCTGGATTTATACCAAAAAAATACTGGAAATTATAACTATGAATAGACACAGAGGATTTTGTAATTTTAAAGCAGAAATAACTGTTTAAGGTTTATAGTATATGTGTGAACAAAATGTGAGACAAGAATAGGGCAGCAGCCAGGACAGGAAAGTAGAAGGACATTGTCAGATTATTATACTGTATGAGATTGTGGTTAATCATTTCAAGGTAGACTGGGATAAGTTAAATTTTATACTTTATTTTATTTTTTAAATTTACTTGACAGATAGAGTTATAGACAGTGAGAGATAGAGAGACAAAGAGAAAGGTCTTCCTTCCGTTGGTTCACTCCCCAATGGCCGCTACGGCCGGCACTGCACCAATCCGAAGCCAGGTGCTTCTTCCTGGTCTCCCATGCGGGTGCAGGGGCCCAAGCACTTGGGCCATCCTCCACTGTCTTCCCAGGCCACAGCAGAGCTGGACTGGAAGAGGAGCAACTGGGACTAGAACCCGGCACCCAAATTTTATGCTTTAAAGCATAAAGCAATCCCTAAGTTAACATGACAAAGAATTATAACTAAAGAGCTGAAAAAGGAGATAAAATGGAGCTACAAAAAATTCAATCCAGAATAGAATCTAAAAACAGAAGTGGAAAAAATGTAAGAGAAAATTAGATAACAGACTTAAACCTAACCATAGCTGTACCCATATTAAATGTAAATGGTTTAAATAACTCAGTTAAAGACAGTCACGCTTTTTGGCTCCTTAGACCCTCTATTCTATGTGTGCAGCACAAAAGGTTCCCTGGCACTAAACAGAATGTGTCAGCCTCAGTTCGTATGTTAATGCCTTCCCAGATGTACAAGGGGGACTTCATTTGTGGGCACAGCCTCCCTTTGCTCTGTCGTGACTTTCCGTAATGTCCCAGTACCTGCCAGGTAAGAATTTTAATCTTCACACTTAATGTCTTGCATTTAGCCTGTAAGAAAGGATTCATACAAGGAGAGATCAAGCCGAGTACATGTTCTGCTCTCTGTAGCCTGGTCTTAGGCAGTGTTTCTGAATAGGATGAGTGGGCATTTTTGATTGTCCTAGTGGGAGTGATGTCAGGAGGGGCACTAGTGGCATCTAGTGGGTAGAGGCCAGCAGTGCCACTAAATGCCCCACAATGCCCAGGACAGCACCCACGTGACAAAGAATTACTGGACCCACAGAGTCAGTAGTGCTCAGGCTGAGAAACCCTGGGTCAGAAGGACAGGGAGGGAAACCAGGTCTCAGGAGCCAGCCTGCCTTTGTCTTGCTTGGAGAATCGAGCTGGAGAAGGCAGGAGGGAGTTTCTTTCTCAGTCTGAATATACTCAGATACACCCTAGAAAATATTCCTTTGCATGTACTTCTAGCATGCGTCACATTGAATTACAGTTCACTGCGTTTGACATCTGTCTTTCATAATGTAAATATGGTAATTTGACAGTAGGTATTAAATCTAGTTACTGATTTTTATATCCCCAAAACTTAGATTGTTTAGCTAATTCCATGATCAGATGAATAGGATGAATGCCCCCCAAAAAACTATCTCAATAGTGTACCTGTAGCTCATTCTTATTAAACCCAAAATAAATTTCCGGGGATCCCTAATGGATCCACTTCTGGTGTCTCACCTATCTTCATGGAAGAAGCTTAATAAGTTATTACATGGTGGCACTCATTTATTCCTGGGATTGTGAATCAGATCAGTGTTATGTTTATAATATACAAATGAATATAAGGAAACTAAAATGTGGCCGTTTTCTTTAGCAACTATACATATTCCTATATGGACCTTTAGGTCTGCCTCTGATGTCGTCAAGTTGGAAGGAGCCAACTACTGCTATCTTCAAAGACACCTCTTATTTCATTGACTGGAAAAAATACCACTTGTGCATGGTGCCCCATTTGGATCTCGATTTGGACAAAGGTATACATGTATCTCCCCCTGAAAGGAGATTGAATGGAAAAATAAAAATCTAAGGAATATTAGAGAATCTTCAGAAAATATAAATAGCAGGTGTATATAAATATAGGACCCGGTGATTGGCTTAGGCAGGGGTGTGGGGTGGGGTTTTCTGAGTTTGCCGGTCTACCTGAAATGAGGCAAACAGGTATCAAACAGGCAGAGCCCCAGCAGAACCTAACTGAGTCAGCATTGTTCCTTGATACTGGTTCTCTTCCCACTCTGTCTACTGCCACCTTTTTGGGGTCCTTCTAGGGTCTTGTTTGTAGGGTTTCTAAAATTGTACCTTTTTTTTTTTTTACAGGCAGAGTGGACAGTGAGAGAGAGAGACAGAGAGAAAGGTCTTCCTTTTGCCGTTGGTTCACCCTCCAATGGCTGCCATGGCCGGCACGCTGCGGCCGGTACATCGCGCTGATCCGAAGGCAGGAGCCAGGTGCTTCTCCTGGTCTCCCATGGGGTGCAGGGCCCAAGCACTTGGGCCATCCTCCACTGCACTCCCGGGCCACAGCAGAGAGCTGGCCTGGAAGAGGGGCAACCAGGACAGAATCCGGCGCCCCGACCGGGACTAGAACCCGGTGTGCCGGCGCCGCAGGCGGAGGATTAGCCTAGTGAGCCACAGCGCCAGCCTCTATTGTACCTTGATCTATCCATTTGAGGGCTTTAAAAAATGAGTGAGCAAGGACACCTTGAACTGTTGTGGAAAAGAAATGCTTCTTAATGAAGTAAGAACATTCACATAAAATTTTAAAAATTAAAACAGCACAAATGTAAGGCATCACTAGCATTGCACCTAGGAAGCTGGCTGCAATATTCATGTAGGGTCTTACCACATTGGCTTTTAGAGAATTAGGCTAAAACGTGGGTGGTTGATAACAGGACCAGTGACTACAAGTGGGAAACAGAAATATGGAACCCTGGACTGGTGCTAGGAGATCTACAGTTTTGAGCCTGACTGCTGTTAGCTAGAATCTTTTTTTTAAGATTTATTTATGTATTTGAAAGTCATAGTTACAGAGGGAGAGGAGATGGAGAGAGAGAGAGGTCTTCCATCCAATGGTTCACTCCCCAATTGCTCTGCCGATCCCAAGCCAGGAGCCAGGAGCTTCCTCCGGGTCTCCCACACGGGTGCAGGGGCCCAAGGATCTGGGCTGTCTTCTACTGCTTTCCCAGGCCACAGCGGAGAGCTGGATCGGAAGAGAAGCCGTCAGGTCTTGAACCAACACCTGTATGGGATGCCAGCGCCTCAGGCAAGGGCGTTAACCCGCTGAGCCACATCGTGGCCCCTTTTGAAGTCTGGATGGTAGTCTGGTCATTTGGATCCTGATAGAGATAATCAGTGAGGAAAAGGCGTTCTGGGGTTGTGACTGGCAGGGGAGGAGTGAACTGAGGATTGGCAGTGTCTCCAGGGGAATGGTAGGAGCTTCACCTGCGAAGTAAGCCTGGGATGAGGTGTGTTTTGTTTTGTTTTGTTTTCTCCTCTCTCTCTCAGGTAGGTAGTTTTTCCAAAAGATGGGGCTGAGAAGAAAGGGGTCCTTGGACAGGGTCCTCTAGAGGAAGTCATTTTGTGAGAACGGAATCATGCCATCAGTTGAAGAGGGACGACCTGGGTGAATTCTAGGGATGTTGACATCTCTTTCTCTGTTTCATTTTTATTTTCATGATACCTGAACTTGCTTGTTTGGAAATGGACAACATAGAAAAGGACCCCTTAATTCCTTCCTCATTACTCTAAAGGACAGAATCCAGATCCGCATAGAGGTATTTCTCTGTGTGGATCTGGAACGTAGGACAGTCCTGATTGTATTGAAGGCTCCAGGTGCTAGAACATGGCCATAGAGCATCAAAGTAGTTGAGAACCCAAACATCAGATAGTACTGGGGTTATGAACACAGATTTTGGAGTCAACCTAGCAAGGTCTAAAACAGTTCCACTACTCAGTAGCTCACGGTAAGCAAGATATTTAGCCTATCTATGCATGTTTTCTTATCTGTAAAATGGTTTAGCAATTCAGTCCTACCCCGTGGTGGTGTTATGAAGTCTAAATGTTAAAATAGTACTTGAAATGAATTTTATATGGTTCCTGATGCATCGTGCGAGTTAGTTGTTGTCATTACTCAGGTTAGACTCTGCCCTCTGCCTCTTGCTTGTCATATCTACCTTACAAGGTTATTTGAGGAATAATTGAGTTTTTGTGTAATACTTTCCAGTAAACGGAAAGGCGTGCTGTTTGGTTTGCGTTTTTCAGTAGATGAAGGAGCCGCTGAGCTAAAGCCAGCCCTGGTTTGCATTGTATACCCCGTTGTTATTTTGATGTTCTTCCTGTGAGTCACTGTTATTTGCCTCTGTTGTATGAATAGAAAAACAGGTTCAAGAGGGAGAAGTGAGTGTTTGCGTTTAACTCTCCTGTTCTCAGGTCTTTTTTGTTCAGGATATAGGTTGCTTAGTCGCTGAATATCTTGAGGACTTGATTATGTTGAAAATGTGTGTAATATCTTGTCCTCTAGATGTCATGCTTCCAGATGTGGGTTATCAGGTGGGATCCAGTCAGCAGGATCAGTCTCAGAATATGGACCCTCCAGGACGAACTCTGCTACTTTTTCTCTTTATGGATTTCCACAGTGGATTTCCAGTCCAGCAAACGGAACTCTGGGGTAGGTACAGGAGAATGGGGTTGCCAACTTGGGCGAGCCAAGTGCTAAGAGGATAAAAGGAGTTAGATATATTTCTGTAGAATAAAGAATTTCAGTGAAAAACCTTGCTTAATAAATTAAATGATATGCCCTGTGGAAAAGTGGGTGCAACACTTAAATGTGACATTCTCAGATTTCACTAGCCAGAAATCAGCAGACACTTCCTACAATGCTTCCTAAGAGTGTATCCCCTTAGAGCAGTGGTTCTCAACCTTAGTTGCATGATATATTACCTGGGGAATTTCTAAAATATGTCCCGGCCACACATACAGAGAGGGCTTTCCTTGGACAAAGGTGGGGCCCAAACTCAGTGTGAAAACCACTGAGTTTGAGTTTGTTTATGAATTTCTTAAAATATTTATTTATTTATTTTTGGAAAGAGTTACAAAGAGGGAAAGAGAGGGATATATCTTCCATCTGCTGGTTCATTCCCCAGATGGCCACAAGAGCCAGCGTTGGGCTAGGGTGAAGCCAGGAGCTTTATCAGAATCCCCCCTGTAGGTATCAGGGACCCAAGTACTTGGGCCATCTTCCACTGCTTTTACCAGGCCATTAGCAGGGAGCTGGATCAGAAGTGGAGCAGCTGGGACTTGAACCGGCACCCATATGGGATGGTGGTGTCACAGGCAGCAGCTTTACCCACTGTGCCGCACTGCCAGCCATGGTTTATGCATTTTAATCCAGTAGGCCTTGGGTTGTACACTTACTGTTGCTCATTGCCCTCCTAACCTTGAGGCAAGTTAGGAGAAGTGGAGCTGATACACGTTTGGGGAAGGTTCACGAGCCTCCCTCTTGGTGCCTCTGATGCATGTCAGTGCTCTCCTTGCGTGGGACTTGTGTCCTTGTGGGACTCTGCCCTGCAAGCATTCCAGTGCTGTGTTACGTGGCCCTGATCCCACCATGTCATACGACTGCTTATCACCCTGGATCAGGAGAGCTTATGTTGACTGGTGCCAACTATTTGTTGAACAAACCATAGCCAGCTCTGGGATTCTTCCTGCAGCCTTCCTTCAAGGCCTCTCCTGCTGTTTCCCCACACACGTACTCTGGGAGAGAAGTTCCTGGGCTTGGGCTTGCAACTCTTTATTTGAGGAGCTCACGTTCTGTGATGCCCGGCTGTTCCATTGATTATGACCAGAAAAATGGGAACTATGAGACCCAAACTAATAACGCTTCAGCAAGGAGGTCTCAGGTGAGGACAACCAGGGCTGTTACCTGGCCTGTGTTCACAAGGACAGAGGTTGATAAGAAGAGCAGCTTAATGTGTGGAAGGGACTACAGGATAGGAACCAGTGACCAGGTTTGAGGCTGGTGTTGTGGTGCGGTGGGTTAAGTTGCCTCTTGCAGTACCAGCATCCTGCATTGACTGTCCAGTTGAGTCCTGACTGCTCTGCTTCCAGTCCAGATTCCTACTGGTGTATCTGAGAAGCCAGCAAAGTGTGGCTCAAGTACTTGGGCCCCTGCCACCCATGTGCTAGAACAGGATGGATTCCAGACTCCTGGCTTTGGCCTGGCCCATACCTGCCTATTGAAGCCATTTAGGGAGTGAACAAGCCGGAGGGAGATCTCTTTCTTGCTGTGTGTCTCTCTGTCTCTCCCTGTCACTCTGCCTTTCAAACAAGTAATCTTCAAAAAAAAAAAAAGCAGAACTTTTTTTCCAGGCATGTGTTATATCATTTTAAAAAGAGAGAAAGACATCTGTGTTTAATTTTAGCTCAAACATCAGCTTCCTCAATGGTGCTTCGAAGCAGATCACATAAATCAACTTAGTCTTGCTTTGCATCTTTAACAAGGGATTGTTAGACTTGATGATGTCAGAGGCCCTTCCGATCTGAAGACCTCCTTAACAAGCTCTGCCACCTCCTATAGTTTGTTTTTTAAGTTTGCCAGAGGCTGATCCTGGATACCGTAAGCTTGATACCATGTTCTCAGTCCTATTGAATGTATCTTACAGACTCAGATTCCTCAGAAACCAGTGTTGCCTATTATTCTTATAGGACTCTGATAATTTATATACTTTCTTTAAAAACGGTTTATTTATTTATTTGAAAATCAGAGTTACACAGAGAGAGAAGGAGAGGCAGAGAGAGAGAGAGATCGATCATCCATCTGCTGGTTCACTCCTCAGATGGCTGCAACGGCCAGAGCTGCACTGATCCGGAGCCAGGAGCTTCTTCCGGGTCTCCTACATGGGTGCAGAGGCCCAGGCACTTGGGCCATCTTCCACTGCTTTCCCAGGCCATAGCAGAGAGCGGGATCAGAAGTGGAGCAGCCGGGATTGGAACCAGCACTCATGTGGGATGCAGGCACTGCGGGCAGTGGCTTTACCTGCTATGCCACAGTGCCAGCCCCTTATATACTTCTGCTTAGCTTGATTCTGAAAGCTTCCATTAGGTATCTTAGTAGTTGTCCTCAGTATTGGATTAAAAAGAAATTCATACCACTGAAAACAAGGACTCCACTTTCCCACCGCCTGGGATTTGTAAAGTATGCATCCGCGAGATTTGGTGCCCATTTGGACTTTCACAGTGGGAGATGGCAGTGAAGGTGTCAACATGAAAAACTGCCAAGTCTTGGTCTCCTCATCTGATATGCAAGATACTGGCAACATTATCATCAAGCAATGGCTGGCTTGTGTGTGAAGCCACCAGACGCCTACAGGGAGGCTGTGACGTCCTATTTCAGTTTCAGTGGTACTCCCCTCCTGCAGGTCTTCCTGTCGCTCTGGGGATAATGAGGTTGGACATTCCCTCATCCAGAGCCTCAAAGGACTCCCACTGAAGTTATTCACATTTCAGAAGCTCTGGGCCTTCTGAGAGCAGCAGGAGCCAGGCATCCAGGGAGAAGAACAAGCCTTGTCTGAGGAGGAGTTTGAGAACAAGTCAGAGGGGAGGTAAAGTGGGACCTGAGTGATGTGGCAGTCGCTGAGGAGTTCTGCCAGTGTTTTGCAGAGAGAAGAGCAATGGAGGCAGCAGTACTGGACGTGAAGCTCCTGGACGCTCATGTGAATGGGCACCATAACCTGGACTACAGCACCCACACCCACCAGGAGGCCCTGTGAGCAGCACCAGGCCAAGATCAAGGGCTTACACAGGACAGCAACGCTAAGGTGCAGGCCATGGAGGCGACAGTGCAGCTGAGCTTGGACGAGCACTGTGAAGGAGAGCAGCTCAAGTACTGTACCCTCTTTCCTCAAGTGCTGAGCTGGGGGCGCAGGGTCCTCTGGGAATGCTTTCCAAACAAGGTCCCCAGCCTTACAGCCGCACGTTGGGATATGCCGTCTTCATCTCTCCTATAAACTTCTGAGGGAGAAAAGACTTTATACTGAGACACGAGGAGGATTTGCCAGTCCCCTTGGCCCATCCTGGGGCGCATGTAGTGTGTCAGTCACTTGGAAGTGGGCAGGATGTATGTTGTTGCCAACAACTTCAACAGGAAGGTTCTCTTGACACGAAGTGATAATTTCATATATACTTCACCGGTTTTTGACATTGAAAAATAATAGTGTTCAGTTCATTAAATTCCTTCCTAGAGAAAGAAGGAGGAAGAAATTAATCACTGCATCAGCAAACGTAAGTGTCTTTAACCCCAACACCGGCAGCTCTGAGGAAGCTGCACAGTGAGGGCAGCCCGAGAAAGCAGTAACGGCGCCGCCTTATCCCTCTTCCTTCTCATATCCTTGAGAGCTTCCTCCAAACGCCTCAGGAAACAGATTGTGCAGAGTGACAGTCTGTCTCCATGTGTCTTTTTAAAAATCACTGAATTGGCCTCCTGCCCACCTTGTCATGGTAACTTTTCTATGATTAACTCATCATTCTGCTGCAACGTCAGCAGCATCTGGTAGTATCAGCAGTTTTAGAAATGAACTTTGGCTTTTTAATTACATGTCTGCTTTCAAAAGGGATCTGATTTCTTGAGGCTATTCTTAGGACCACACTGTAGAAACAGGAATCCACATGATATCATGGCAACAGCAGTGTTTCCCTTTGAACACTGCAGTGTGCATTGGAACAGTGTACACTTCAGAACACTTCTTATGTTGTATCCTGGTTTACACACACAACCTACCTGTGAGTAGGTGGCACAGAGCCTTGTTCTATACTGACGGGAGGAAGGGGAAGTGGCTGCTTCTCTACTAGTTGGTGGTAGAATTGATCCTAGAATCAGTGTTCTGTTTCTAGCTCCAGACTCCTTTTGAGCCAACCACTTTAGCCTCTCCACCAGAAAGAATCACTGTGCTTCGTGTAAATCTTCTCTCTGGCTTGCATTCTTAATGCAGTACTAAGGAAAAGCCAGCCAGCCTCAGGTGGTGTCTTTGAACAAAATATCCAGAGGAGAGCAGAAAAACACTGAGAACAGAAGATTCGTTAAGCAGCGCTTTGTCTAGGTGCTCTGTGTTTGTCTTCCTGTGTCTGTATGGTGCTCTTGCCTGTCATTCCAACGGTTGGCTTCTCTGCATGATGTCAAGTAGGGGTGCCTATTATTGAGAGATGATTCTCGATCTTTCTTGAAAAAAAAAAAAAAGATTATTTGAAAGGCGGAGTTAGAGAGAGAAGTAGAAATAGCTCTTTCATCCACTGGTTCACTCCCCAAATGGCCCCAGTGGCCAGAGCTGGGCTAGGCCAAAACTAGGAGCTTCATCTGGTTCTCCCACTAGAGTGCAAGGGCCCAAGGACCTGGGCCATTTCTGCTTTCCCTGGTACATTAGCAGGGAAATGGATCAGAAATGGAGCAGTGGGGATTTAACCAGTACATATTAACCTGTTAGACCACAATGCTGGCCTCAATAATTCTCCATTTAAAATGCCCTGAGGAAGCAGGATTCAGACTACAGTATAGCTGTTTAGTGCTGGATTGTCCTTCCTCTTGCTCAAAGTAAGGTTGTTTCTTACTATTCCTGTCTGCTCTATCCCTGTAGCAGCCAGGGACACTTGGTCTCATACAAGTAAATAAATAAAAATAAAAAAAAAATAAAAGGACCTGGGGTCAGCGCTGTGGCGTAGCAGGTAAAGCCGTTGCCTGCAGTGCTGGCATCCCATATAGGTGCCAGTTCGAGTCCTGACTGCTCCACTTCTGATCCAGCTCTCTGCTATGGCCTGGGAAAGCAGTGGAAGATGGCCCAAGTCCTTGGGCCCCTGCACCTGCGTGGGAGACCCGGAGGAAGCTCCTAGCTGCTGGCTTCAGATTGGTATAGCTCCGGCTGTTGCAGCCAATTGGGGAGTGAACCAATGGATGGAAGACCTCTCTTTCTCTCTCTCTCTCTCTCTCTCTCTCTCTCTCTCTCTCTCTCTCTGCCTCTCCTTCTCTCTCTGTGTAACTCTGCCTTTCAAATAAATACATAAATAAATCTTTCTTTCTTTCTTTTTTCAAAGAAAAAAGAGCTTGTACCAGCAGGTCTCAGAATTCATAATTTCCTCACCACAGCACATCAGAAAGAATTGACATGCTGCCAGCAATGGTGGCTCACCAGATGGTGACACTCAGCTAGGTGTGGAGGGAGTTAGCCACGCTCCAGAAGGTTGACCCTCTCACCCCTTCTCTTCTCCTGTGGGAGTCATCATTATTATTGTGGTATATATTTCTGGTGTGAATTAAACAGGATCATTTGTTTCTCCAGAAATAATTTTCTTGAACTTTCTTTCATTTGTAAGTGAGAACTGGGCGGGTTTAAAAGTTGCTGGGGGAGGGAAGAGGGTTATATTTAAAGAAAAAGTAGTTGCTTGTGCACAGGTAGGAGTGACCCCTTCCAGCCAGCACTGCGGCTTACTTGGCTAATCCTCCGCCTGTGGCGCTGGCACCCCAGGTTCTAGTCCTGGTTGGGGCACCAGTTCTGTCCCGGTTGCTCCTCTTCCTGTCCAGCTCTCTGCTGTGGCCCAGGAAGGCAGTGGAGGATGACCCAAGTGCTTGGGCCCTGCACCCACGTGGGAGACCAGGAGGAAGCACCTGGCTCTGCCTTCGGATCGGCACAGTGCCAGCCGTAGCGGCCATTTGGGGGGTGAACCAATGGAAGGAAGACCTTTCTCTGTCTATCTCTCTCTCTGTCTAACTCTACCTGTCAAAAAAAAATTAAAATAAAAAATTAAAAAATAAAGTGACCCATTCCAAGAGACATCTTTCGCAGTCCTGGTCCCGACTCCGAGCATGGAGCAGCGGTCTGGAAATAGTCATCCTTGCTCAGGGGTCTGATTGCCTCCTTCCCTTTAGGGGTCCACACTCTGCTCACAACTCACCTCAGTACCGTCCTCAGGGAGAGCCACAGTGCGGTGCGAGATTCCATCCAGTTCACCGTGGACCAAGTCCTGGGGCAGCATCATCAGGCCGTCAAGGTAATGAGAAATCCACAGGCTCCTTTCTCCTGCTCTCGAATAAAGAGCGTAAGGCAGACAGGCCTGAAGAGCCTGTTCCTCTCCTTTTCTGTCCCCTAGGGTGACCTTACAACCCTGCCTTGTAGCCTAGGAATTCAGGCTCTAACTTAGGTGGATCTCTGTAGTCAGCCTGTTCAGTCTTCCCTCCTAGTGGATGGATTTGAATAAACAGGGACAAAAATAATAGTGAACAATCGGAGGTGCTGTACCGGGGCCTTATCTCTGTGTCTCCCTTTCCCACACATACTTCTGGAGCTGCTGCTTCACTAGACTTTACATTCCTCTCCCATCTCCTAATTCTTCATACCAGGGCTTTTTTTGTGAAGATTTATTTATACATTTGAAACACAGAGCATAAGAGAGAGAGAGAGAGAGAGAGAGAGAGAGAGAGAGAGAGAGAAACATGCACAGCACAGTGCACTGTTCCAGCTGCTGGTTCACTTCTCAAATGGCCACAACAGCCAGGGCTGGGCCAGACTAAGCCAGGAACCAGGAACTCCATCCAGGTCTCCCACATGGGTGGCAGGGGCCCAAGCACTTGAGCCTCCCTCCACTGCCTTCCTGGGCGCATCAGCAGGACTCTGGATTAGAAGTGGAGGAGCTGGGACTCGAACTGGCACTCCATGCAGGATGTCAGTTTCACAGGTGGCAGCTTAACCGGCTGCTAACAACACCAGTCCCAGTGCCTTCTCTGCCTGCTTTGCTCATCTCCTCCATCACGTGTCCTTTCTTTTTTAACTCCATTTGACCTTCTCTTCAGAAAAAAAAAACACACACACACACACAAAGAGAACAAAACTTAAAGCTTTTCCTTTTTTTTAAAATAGTAAATATATCTATTCTATTGATCAATGCCTTACTGCTTATCTCTTCTGAATGCATCTGTGGCAGTAAGTTATGTCTATGAAAGGAGAGAGCATTTAAAAATGTTTGTAATCCAGGGCCGGCACTGTGGCGTAGCGGGTAAAGCCGCCGCCTGCAGTGCCAACATCCCATATGGGCGGGCACCAATTCGAGACCCAGCTGCTCCACTCCTGATCCATCTCTTTGCTGTGGCCTGGGAAAGCAGTGGAAGATGGCCCAAGGCCTTGGGGCCCTGCATCCGCGCAGGAGACCTGGAAGAAGCTCCTGGCTCCTGGCTTTGGACCTGCGTAGCTCCAGCCATTCCGGCCATTTGGGGAGTGAACCAGTGAATGGAAGACCTCTCTCCCTCCTCCTCCCCTTCCCCCTCCCTCTCCCTTTTTCTCTGCCTCTCAAAAAAAAAAAAAAATGTATAAGCCCTAAGGGTCATGATATGAAGCTATGTTATGATCTCAGTGTTTTTTCTGGGGCCAAGGCGGGGTGGGGGAGAAGGATGAAATCCTGCTGCTCAGACTGGAATCTCTGGCTCCTTTGGGATTCTCTGAGCCAGCAGCTTGGAACTATGCAGTCTCACCCTTCATGTCTCTTTATGTCCCCCAGACCCAGCAGAAACTGAAGGCCTCCCTCTCTGTGGCTGTGAATTCCATCCTCACCATTGTGACTGGGAGTACCGACGGCAGCTTCCGAAAGACCTGTCTCCAGGCCCTTCAGGTTAGCAGGGGACTGGGGCGGCTTAAAGGTACCAGGGCTTTAATGGCATTCAGTTACCTGTCTTTAAAAAAAAAAGATGTATTTATTTATTTGAAAGGGAGAGTTACAGAGAGGCAGAGGCAGAGAGAGAGAGAGAGGTCTTTAATCTGCTGGTTCACTCCCCAGATGGCCGAAACAGCTGGAGATGCACTGATCAGGAGCCAGGAGCTTCCCTCAGGTCTCCCACGCAGGCGCAGGGACCCAAGCACTTGAGCCATCCTCCACTGCTTTCCCAGGCCACAGCATAGAGCTGGATCAGAGGTGGAGCAGCCGGGACTTGAACTGGCGCCCATATGAGATGCCAGCACTGAAGGCAGTGGCTTTACCCTCTATGCCACAGCACTGGCCCCCAGTTACCTATCTTGTTATCAGGCCTAAGTGTTATCAGAAATATTTGTTGATTGTATAGTAGTGTGTATACTCTTTTATCAATGAGAATACAAGTTCTTTAAGATGTCTGACTCCTTTAGGCCACACAGCTAGCTAAGAGCCAAGCTGGGATGAGATCAGCGAGTCCCCGTGCCTTGTTTAGGAGTGCTCTGCTGTTTCATGTGACGGCACGTTGGGAATAACTGAGCAACTATAAGTATTACATGTATGTGACAGGATGCATGGGGCAGAGATTTTGGGAATCAGAGGCTTGGGTTCAAATCATGACTCATTTATTTACTAGCTATGTAGATTTAGCCTGTATTTAACTTCTCTGAGCTCATCTACAAGTTGTAAAAAAAAAAAAAATGCTTCTTCACAGGGTTATTATGAAGGTGAGGGCTAAGTGTGTGCTGTATATTTACACAGAACAGCCTCCATCCACTGGCTCACTCCCCAAATGGCCACACCAAAGCCAGGACTGGAAGTAGAGCAGCCAGGACTCCAACCTGCACTCACATGGGATGCCGGCAGCTTAACCAAATGTGCCACAACACTGGCCCCGGTGCTTCATTTTTATGCATGTCTTTCCTTAAAAAGATAACATAACACAAAATTTTAAATAATAACTAATTTTGTCACTATAATTTATAATTTTTCATATTATCTCATGTTATACAGTTGCCATGAGAACATTCCATTTTAATATATAAGTTGACATTTTCCATTTCAACAGTCTTAGGATTTTGTTTTGGTTAATCAGTATTCTACTGTGTCATTTTAATCTAAACCATTCATCTAATGTTAGACATTTAAGTTGGTTACATTCCTCCTGATATAATGCTTCAGTTGATACCCTTGTATGATGTTGTCTCTTGAATTATTTCTCAGAATAAGTTTCTATAAATGGAATTAACTGGATCAAAGAGTTAAATACCAGGGCCAGTATTGCGGCATAATGAGTTAAGCCACCACCTGTGTCGCCAGCATCCCATTTCAGCACTGGTTCAAGTCCTGGCTGCTCCACTTCCAATCCAGTTCCCTCTACTAATATGCCTGGGAAAACAACAGAAGATGGCCCAAGTGCTTGGGTCAATGGGAGACCTAGATGAAGCTCCTGGCTTCAGCCTGGCCAAGCCCCGACTGTTGTGGCCATTTGGGGGAGTGAACCAGCAGATGGAAGATCTCTCTGTCTCTCTGTGTAACTCTACCTTCCTTTCAAATAAAGAAATAAATCTTTAAATTTTTTAAGGAGTAAAATACCTTTATAAGTTAGTGTATTTTATCATTGCTTCAACTTTCTGGGTTATGTGGGTAACTCAGAGTATGAGGAGAATACCTGATTAGGAATTCCAAGATATGCATTAAGGCCCTAACTTTCGTACTAATTAGCCGTGAGATCTTGACTGGGTCACTTCTCCTTCATGTGTTTTAATCTCTGATCTATAACATTAGTGTATTGCATAGGTGATTACTCTGGTCCCCCTTAACTCTAACACTGTGTATTAAAAAATAGAATGCGCTTACCCATTCACTGTGGGTGAAACGGTATTCTTTTGTTCCTGTCATCTGTAAAGGTCTTAGTTGAGGAAAAGCTCTTCAGTCAGCCTCTGCTGTCCAGTAGAATCTGGGAGTTTATTTTACAGAACCATTTATATAACCCCTCAGGAACAGACAGCTCTCTGGGACACTTATCTCCTCCTGCAGAGTTAGGGGAAAAGGCCCTGGTTTGAAGGTTCTTGCTTGGGTGACAGAAATGGGAAGGCATACACGATCCACACTCCCTGTCTCGTGGCAAGTGTCCCAGGCCTTCTTTCTGTCTCGTCTCTCCTGCCTCTAGGGAGACTAAGGAAACTTCCAACACTGAGAGGGATGTTAGTGTTCTACCTCCCTACCTGCCTTATGCTTCCGCCGTATAAACTTCCTGTGAATAGTCCCTCTTGGTGTCCAGGACTGGGCCTCAGTGTGTTCTCTCTGTCTCATTCTAGGCGGCTGACACACAGGAGTTTGGGACCAAACTGCACAAAGTATTCCATGAGATCACGCAGCACCGATTTCTTCACCAGGGCCCATGTGACAGGAAGCAGGTAAATGTGAAGTAAGAATCAGCACTCCGGGAGAAGCCTTCCATGTTGCTCTGCGAGAGTTCTGAATCAGCGGAGATACGGTGCTTCAGACCCCACAGTCGGAGGCTAGTCTTTCAGCAGGAAGTCTGTGATTCAGAAAAACTGTGTGAGACATAGTGTTATACAGAGGCTAGGAGCCGACATAGTGTTATACAGAGGCTAGGAGCCGACATAGTGTTATACAGAGGCTAGGAGCCCAGATATAGTGTCATACAGAGGCTAGGAGCCCAGACATAGTGTTATACAGAGGCTAGGAGCCCAGACATAGTGTTATACAGAGGCTAGGAGCCCAGATATAGTGTCATACAGAGGCTAGGAGCCGACATAGTGTTATACAGAGGCTAGGAGCCCAGATATAGTGTTATACAGAGGCTAGGAGCTCAGACATAGTGTTATACAGAGGCTAGGGGCCGACATAGTGTTATACAGAGGCTAGGAGCCCAGACATAGTGTTATACAGAGGCTAGGAGCCCAGACATAGTGTTATACAGAGGCTAGGAACAGATCTCTGGTTCACTCACGAAATGGCTGCAATAGCTGGGGTTGGGGCTGGGTCAGGCTAAAGCTAGAAGCCAGGAATTAGATCCAGTCTCCGTGAGCGGCAGGGCCCAGAGCACTTGGCCATCTTCCACTGCTTTCCCAGGAGCATTCGCAGAGATCTGGAGTGGAGGTGGAGCAGCTCAAACTGGCACTCCAGTGTGGGACGCAGACACTGCGGGTGGGGGCTTAGCCTGCTGCACCGTACTGTGGCCTCCTCTGTATCAGTAAAGTAGGAGTGATGTACACCTAAAATAATTGTTTTGAGGTATGAATAAGATAAAGCATGCAAAATGTCAAGCACATAGCTACTATTATAATGGTGATGATATGGTGGGATTTTTATGATTATGTTGAATCAAAAATCATGTTTATCTGCCTTCCTGGCTGCTGGAGATCCAGGGTTGCATTAGTTGCAGGTTCTACCCTCAAGGAGGTCAAGTCACTAGCTCTGTTGGTGATGGTCTTCTCTGACAAGTGAGGGGAAGTCGTGCCTAGGGAAGCCTGTGTCTCCAGATTCCATGCGTAGCTGGTAATAGTGGTCCCACTGGGAGCCCACTTTTCTGGCTCTCTTGGCCCTGTTAGAACTGGCACACCTCTGGTCCTTTTTAACAAAGCTTAAAAATAGAAACAAGGGGGCTGCCGCCTGCAGTGCTGACATCCCATATGGGTGCTGGTTCGAGTCCCAGCTGCTCCATTTCTGGTCTAGCTCTCTGCTATGGCCTGGAAAGCAGAAGAAGATGGCCCAAGTCCTTGGGCCCCTGCACCCACATGGGAGACCTGGAAGAAGCCCCTGGCTCCTGGCTTCGAATCGGCACAGTTCAAGCCATTGCAGCCATCTGGGGAGTGAACCAACGGATGGAAGACCTCTCTCTCTCTCTCTCTGTCTGCCTCTGTCTCTCTGTAACTCTGCTTTCAAAAAAATAAAATCCTTTTTTAAATTTTTG